ACCTGGAAAAATTATTTTCAGGCTTGCGAAAAAAAAAAAAAAAAAAAAAAAAACCATAAACAGAGTAACACTTGTTGAGTCGTGGATTTGCATAGCAGCTTCAAGAAGATATCAAGTTCCATACAGTTTCCACACCAATACAGTATCACTCGTGCTCTCTTGCAAATCCCACAATTACATTGGAGTACCTAGCAAAGCATGTTTTGCTACAACTTCGATCGATTCTTGCAGGGCAACATGAACATAAAATGGAGGAATTGAAGCTAGGTGGCCATAATTTACGTACATCACGTTGGGTACTGAAGCAGAGTTATTCAAGCTTTTGGAGCTATTTCTGATTAATTATCACCTTGAGGACAAGGTGATTTTGATGGGCATGACAATGATACAATCAACCATTGTGTACCATCACCTTGAGGACAAGGTGATTTTGACGGGCATGGAAATGATACAACCAGCTGCAATATTATTATTATGAGGACAAGGTGATTTTGACGGGCATGGAAATGATACAACCAGCTGCAATATTATTATTATTATTATTATTATTATTATTATTATTATTATTAGTGGTTTAGTTTATATTGGAATAATGGGTAGTTAGTTATACATGTAAATGAGGTAGTGGATAGTTAAAGGGGTGGTGGGTAGTTTTATTATCAGTATAAATAGCTACATGTGTATTTGAAGAATCAATGAATAATATATTTATAAATGTCTGGAGACATTTTGGGAGTTAGATTATCACTCGAAGTATAGTCAATGGGAGTTTGGCTGTCACTCGAAGCACAGTCATAGAGTTTGGCTCTTGACTCGAAGAAGAGCAACCCATACAACCTCAGGGTTGTATCAATTGGTGCTTTCATTGAGAGTATCAACCTGAAAACATTATTTTTCAGGCTCGTTCAAAAAAAAAATTGCATTCCAAATTGTTTTCTTTTTCTTGAGCCTGTATACATTTGGCATACCTTCTTGCTTCCACAAGAATGTTGCGAGTTGTGACAACATGCAGAGAGCCATTTTGCTAAGATTCTTTGTCCCTGTGTGCGGAACCGACCAAAGCCAAATTTCTGCCGGCGAACAAAATTAATTCCTAGAATTGACAGAAGAAAGCTACGGATCAATGATCATGTTGTCGCCATGGATCATTCAACGGCTGCCAACCAAGAATTATGCAGAATTACTTCCAAAATCAATAGTTACGTTGCTGCTGACTCAATCAATTAATTTGCTGTTGTTACCAACTCTTGGCTTGAAGAACTAGAGAAGATATACCATGAAGCATCCGTCCAGTTGAAGTGGTGCATATACAGTATTACTCATCAAGTCAAGTCCATTGATCTTGCTTATTCAATAGTCAAATAGTTACCACCTTGAGGACAAGGTGGTTTTGATGGGCGGGAAAATGATACAACCAGCTACAATATTATTATTATTATTATTATTATTATTATTATTATTATTATTATTATTATTATTATTATTATTAGTGGTTTAGTTTATAGTGGAATAATGGGTAGTTAGTTATACATGTAAATGAGGTAGTGGATAGTTAAAGGGGTGGTGTGTAGTTTTATAATCATGTATAAATATCTACATATGTATTTGAAGGGAAGGTGAAGAATATATATATTAATGAATGTCTGGTGACATTTTGGGAGTTAGACTATCACTCGAAGTATAGTCAATGGGAGTTCGGCTGTCACTCGAAGCACAGTCATAGAGTTTGGCTCTTGACTCGAAGAAGAGCAACCCATACAACCTCAGGGTTGTATCAAGAGCACCAATTGATACAATCCTGAGGTTGTATGGGTTGCTCTTCTTCGAGTCAAGAGCCAAACTCTATGACTGTGCTTCGAGTGACTGTCGAACTCCCATTGACTATACTTCGAGTGATAGTCTAACTCCCAAAATGTCTCCAGACATTCATAAATATATTCTTCATTGATATTCTTCAAATACACATGTAGCTATTTATACTGATAATAAAACTACCCACCACCCTTTTAACTATCCACTACCTCATTTACATGTATAACTAACTACCCATTATTCCACTATAAACTAAACCACCAATAATAATAATAATAATAATAATAATAATAATAATATTGCAGCTGGTTGTATCATTTCCATGCCCGTCAAAATCACCTTGTCCTCAAGGTGATGGTACACAATGGTTGATTGTATCATCATGATTATGCTAATAGTTTTATTTCAAAATGTTAATTTTTTAAAAAGACAAAATGTTAAATTTTAATATGTAAACAAACTAATTTAAATTTTATGAAGATGTCCTTTTTACTCTTTTTACATTTATCAGCTTATCAAAAAACTAATTTTACCAAACACTTTCAATCATAACAGCTCCGAGCTTATAGCTTTTCAGCTTTCAGCTCCTAGCTTATAGCTTTTCAGCTAGGTTTGCCAAATAGAGCATATATGGTTGCACCAGGTAAATATGTTTGATTAATTAGCTTTTTTGTAACAGTTTGTTGCTCCAAAACACTAAAATTCATAAAGCTGTTCAAAACAGCTTTTTCGATTAGCTTTTTGAGAAAGTCATTTTGTATGTAATTAGCTATCAGCTAACATCTAATTTACCTAACATCTTTCTACAATAAGCTAATGCTATCAACTAGTCAAACTCACTAACTCAATTAGCTAACAACTATTTACCAAACACTCCCTAAGTATTAATTTTATTTCCTACTAAAATGTCGGAAAAATAATAAAAATAACATTATAAGTGGTTATTTTGTGGTACAAATATATGTAGGGTCTACTTCCGGTTTGAGTTGGGTTAAAGTGGATTCAAGTTCTTTGTAGTGAGACGAAGAGAATGATATATTGTACACTCAAAACGAATAATGGGTGAATGAGAAATTGATTCTCAAAGTAGACTCATTTGAGTTGGAAAATGAAGATGGAAAGACTTGAAACAAGCACTTGTTCCACATCAATTGCGCTCCTAGCATCAAAGGAATGTAACAAACTTGACTTGAACTAACTCTTCACCTTTCATTTTTTGTGCTTGTATTTTTCTGAACATAATTTTTTTCGTAGGATTATATTCCCAACATAAAATATATACCATCATCCATTGTTCATTTCCCGTGCTCATGCTTTAAATTATTATTATTATTATTATTAGTAGTAGTAGTACATAAGGACATTTAAGTCATTGTATCACTTATTCCCTTTCAAATCTCTGTCTTATTATTGCATACCAAACATGTAAATTGAATTCCTACTTTATTCTCACCTGCATACCAAACGTTGTAATTTGAATTTATACTTTACTCTCACCTGCATACCAAACACTGTAATTTAAATTTACATTACTCCCACTTTATTCTTTTCCCACCAAATTATAATTTCTTTCCACTCTGATCTAATTCCTTCCTTCCAACCAAACGCTCCGATATAGATATATATACTATTACTAGGGCCACTTCAATTCATTTCAATATAGAATCTAGAAGGTATCAAATTCTCAAAGGTTACCATCAATCTGTTAGGACCTTGAAAGAATAGCCATCCAGAAACTGTACTATATATGCATATGGAGGAGTAATTGAGAATGGCAGAAGTTGTAGCAGTTGGTTGTGAAAGAAGATAGAGATAATAAAAGGAAATTAGGTGTGATGTTTCAAGAGTTGTACCCATGAAGAAAAAAAAAATAGTTGAGTTAATGCCTCCAGCCTTTCATCTACCTACGTCCTCTTTATAAGTAATTCCAATTTTAACTAAATAAACTTGAAAATGATGACCAAAAAAAAAAAAAAAAAAAAACTGCACCGGGATCATCCCTAATAGTGAACTTGATTTTTCTCAAAGTCTCATGTTTAAACCTTGTAAATACGGTAACAATCAATTGAAAAAGCTCTCTCAATATTAGGTCCATAATGCTCAACACATCTTCAGGTATACCTCATCTAATTATCAATTCCAAAATAAATAAATAAAATAACAACAACAACATAATAACAATAACAACAACATACAAGTACTTTAATTTGAAGAATCAATATACCATTAAAACATATCACACTAATTATCTCGTTTACTGTACCAAAACTTCATGATAGAAGTAGGTGAAACTAACTCTCTCTCTCGAGATTAAGGTGCACTTCAATATTAGAGGGCAATGCATCTACTTCATATTTGGAGTATATGAATACAATATATGTAAGATTTTTCATATATATATATATATATATATATATATATATATATATATATATATATATATATATATACTTGAGTTCAAATGAGGACCGATATATAATAGAGGACTGTGAGGACAAATATGACGTGTGCCATTACTCTATATGTATGTAGTCGTGTGCAACGGTTTGTATGCTGCATGCATAAATTTGTTAATTAATAGATTCTGGGTTCGAAACCTGATGTTTACATATATTCTTGTGTACCTGATACTAATTTGTTGTGTTCCCCAATATTGGTCCGCACAGTCCTCATGTGAACTCAACCCCAGTCCTCATGTGAACTCAACCCTATATATATATATATATATATATATATATATATATATATATATATATATATATATATATATATATATATATATATTAAGGCCTTAATTAAATGGTACGAGTTGACTAGACTTAATTAAGTAATAATTAAGTAGTTTGGTTAGACGAAATAACTAGAAGTTGTTAGTTAATTAATTAGAATCCCTGTCTAATATAAACACGTAGACATCAATACACCATTATGAGTCAAATATGAGATAAGCATGACTAACACTCTACCGCTTTCCAACACATCAAGATATTTTGAGATCAACGGTACTTCCACTTAAATTATTTTGATCTAACAATATATACCCAAAAAAGTAATGTATAGTACGTGATATAAGTGGATATACCGGGGGTTTTCACGTGGACACTCTCGTTCCACGTGTCACCCGTGAACAGAACGAGTTTCTTCTCCGTCCGTTTGAGCCTGAGGAGGTGAAGAGCGCTTTGTTTTCCATGGGGAAGGATAAGTCACCAGGACCGGATGGCATGAATCCGGGCTTCTATCAGGCTTTCTGGGATCTTGTTGGTAAGGATGTTACTGATTTTGTGCTTAATTGTTTATCTCAATCATCCTTCCCCCTAGAGTTGAATGATGCGAATATTGTATTAATTCCTAAAAAGGCAGCCCTTGAGTTTGTTGCGGATCTCAGGCCTATTGCTTTGTGTAATGTGGTATATAAAGTAATGGCTAAGATGATTGCTAATCGTATGAAGCCGTTGCTTGATAATATTATTTCGGAGTCGCAGAGTGTTTTTTTGCCTGGCAGGCTTATCTCGGACAATATTCTCATTGCGTCTGAGGTTGGCCATTATTTACGAAAGAAACAGCTAGGGCAGGTAGGGTGGGCGGCCCTTAAATTAGATATGGCTAAGGCCTATGATCGAATGGAGTGGTCTTTCGTGGAGCGTATGTTGTTGGGACTGGGTTTTGATGAAAAATGGGTCGGTCTTATTATGCTCTGTGTACGGTCTGTTAGGTACAGGGTGTTGGTAAATGGGAAGCCGAGCAATGAAATAATTCCATCTAGGGGGCTAAGGCAAGGAGATCCATTATCTCCGTATCTCTTTATTATATGTGCAGAAGGCTTGTCTCTATTATTGCAGGATGCTCAGGCAAAAGGACGGATGCATGGTTGCAGGGTAGCTCGTGGAGCCCCATCGATTTCGCATCTTTTCTTTGCGGATGATAGTCTTCTGTTTTTTAAGGCTAATATGCAGGAAACTATGGAGGTGAAACGTTGTTTAGCGGTTTATGAGGAATTTTCAGGGCAATCTGTTAATTTCCATAAATCCAATATCTCATTTAGCCGTAATACTGCCTTGGGGGTCAGGAATGATATTGCTAGTGAGCTAGGAGTTGAGCAAGCAGAGGATTTTGGGAAATATCTGGGTCTCCCCTCAGTCATTGGAAGAAACAGGAAAGTGGTTTTCTCGTATATTGAGCAGAAGTTAAAACAGAGGTTTGGCTCCTGGAATAAGAGACTGTTATCTATGGCAGGTAAAGAGGTGTTGCTGAAAAGTGTGGCACAGGCAATGCCGACCTACACTATGAGTATATATCTGTTACCTATGACTTTATGTGTCTCACTGGAAAGGCTCATGAATAGATACTGGTGGGGTAAGAGTAATGTGGTAGATGGCATTCACTGGTTGGCATGGGACAAGATGTGTGTACCCAAGAAGTATGGAGGTATGGGTTTTAAAAGGCTGCATGAATTTAATTTGGCTCTTCTAGGAAAGCATGGGTGGAGATTGTTGACTAGCCCGGACTCTTTAGTGGCAAGGATCTTTAAAGCAAGGTATTTTCCTAACACTGCTTTTTATGAGGCCACACTTGGTGGTAATCCAAGTTATGTGTGGAGAAGCATAATGGCCAGCCAGGACCTTGTTCGTAGTGGCTGTAGGCGGAGAGTTGGCAATGGAAGAATGACTAAAGTCTGGGACCACCCCTGGTTGCCTGACCCTCATGACCCGTTTGTTCACTCAGATCAGCCTACGCAACTTCCTGATTTGATGGTGGCTGACTTGATAGATCATGACCAGGGGATTTGGAAACAGGATTTAATTTTGCAATTATTTATTCCCAGGGATGCTAATTTGATTCTACAGACCCCCGTATGTGTGGACTTTAAAGATGATTGGTACTGGTCGGGAGACATTAGGGGAATATATACGGTTAAAAATGGTTATAAGCAGCTTGGAGAGATTAATGGCCCTTGCGATGCTTTATGGAACAACATTTGGAAATTACAGGTTCCTCCAAAATGGAGGATTTTTCTATGGAGAGCCATTACTAATATTTTGCCAACAATTACTAATTTAATTAGAAGAAGGGTGGAGATCCAAAATGTGTGCCCTGCTTGTGGGTTTCTTGAAGAGGATGTTATGCACATTTTATGCAACTGTGTTTATGCTAGACATGTGTGGAATATTTCACAACTCCAAATCCCTAACTTTGATGATCATGATTTTATGCAGTGGGTGGAGCTTTGTCTTGGGAACTCAGCAATATCTGCTGGTTTTCTAAAAGAACAAATATGTGGAATACTCTACGAATTATGGAAGGCCCGGAACATGGCGGTTTGGGATTTTGCTTTGCCTATCCCGACGCAGCTATGTGCCTCCTCTCATCGTGCCTGGGCCGCATGGAGCAGCTCCAATGCCCTCGGCAGTCCGACGCGGAGTACAAGCACGCAGGCTGCTCTGCCACAACTGCCGCATGGAGTACTGCATTCCCGACAGCACCAAGCAGCCGCATCCCTCCCCCAGGACGCTGTGATATGTAGTACGGATGCGGGGTTTTATGGACCCCAGCACGCCCCAACTTTCGGCTTCTATGTACGTAGTCCGGAAGGTGTTTTTATAGCAGCAGTAAATGACCCTATCACTTGTCCATATGATACCCTCCTAGCTGAAGCTATGGCAATACGTGAGGCTCTCTCATGGCTACACGACCACAATTATCATAACATTGTTATCTTGACAGACTGCGCTGTTCTAGTGGATAGCTTTCGGGACATCAATTCTTATCGTTCGTATCTTGGCATTGTTTTAGATTCATGTTTACGGTTGTTTAACTCTTTCCCAGTTCATTCAATTCAGTTTGTACGCAGAGGCACCAATCTGGTGGCTCATGCCTTAGCTAAACATGTAAGGGCGGTTCATGAACGTTCAGTATGGACCGAGTCCCTCCCATCTTTTATTCCTTTGGAATTAAGTTAATGCAATATATGAAGTGTTTGGTTTTCAAAAAAAAAAAGTGGATATACGTGTTGTGTTGAAGCAATTAAGTCAGATGAGTACAATTTGACAACAAAGCCATATTTATTGTCTTTGGTTTCTTCAAAACTCTGATCTGTCATCATTTTCTGTAGTGTAAACATCCACGCAAGTTGCCTCACGCTTGAAAACTACTACTCTCATTCATGTAAATGTGATTGTATGTTGGAAGTTGGGACTAGCTATTATTTATAATAATTCAATTCCAAGTATTTAAGAAGGCTGAGGTGACAAATGAATGGGTCCAATATCAATATAATCCCATTATTTCACGTCATGTGTCTGATTCGATTAATGAGATTTAAATATAATTATTTTTAATTTAATTTTTTATAATATTAAGTTTAATATTAATATATCAAAAAAACTAATAGTGAAGATAACATAACCAATACACGATCGAGACGGAGCACCTGCTGAAGATAGGTAGCACTGAAGTGTATGACAATCCGTGTATAGCTCTATAGACTGTTCTCCACGAGCCCTTAGCCATGACAAGGCCTCTTTGCACGCGAATGCCTCGATCATAAGTGGGGACAAACAACTCGGGAGGGAAGCGCTGTAGGCCGAAACATAACCACCTTCGGTGTCGAGAAGAATTGCTCCGATCGTGGCCGAGTTCGTCGTGTGGTGATACCCAGCGTTGACGTAGCACCTTCTCGGTCGTACTGCCCTTCTCGGCCGTACTTCAGCAGCCTGGGTTACAATATATAGTAGGCAGTGGCGGTGGAGGCTGCGTCGGCTCGGCAGTGTTGGCAGCGCCGGCGTCTTCAGCTGGCGGACGGTCGGCAGTTGCATGGTGTACTTATCGCCATGCCTGGCATAGTGGCATCTGCGTACATTATTCCATTAGTGTCTATAACATTCAAGATTGTACTAAACCATATATGACATTTGTCACAATATTGGAGAGTGGAAGGTTAGATTGATCGAATTAGTCAATTAACTAGTTATGCTCAATTGGTATTGGCCGGATTGGACAACACTTCAACTTCATATTCGTAATATCATCTTAATACCTCCACACACATAAGTTTAATTTGTTGTGGATCATGTATTGTAAGACGTTTGTTTCAAGACAATAAATACTACAATGTTTCATGTAATGTATTTTTCAATATAATAAATATGACAATGCTATGTGTTTATCTTGTATGAGATGAACTTTACAAGTTTGCATGAATACTCAATGTATTAGTTTATTGAAGTCTAACTTTTTTAAAGGTTTGCAATCGAAACCGGATCCCGGATCCCCAATTCTTATACCATGTACCAGGATTTAATTTGCATTGTAAATCTTGATACAAAATTTTTTATACTTTAGTTAACATATTTTGTACTTACAGTTAACAGTTTCTATACATGTAAACAAATATTGCTTTGTGAACCTTGATACAAAAATTTTGTACCTTCAGTTAACACATTATGTACCTACAGTTAACAGTTTCTGTACATGTAAATAAATAACTTGATAATTACTGACACATAATATGATAACTACATGTACAGAAACTATCAAGTGCAAGTACATAATGTGTCAACTATAGATACAAAATTTGAAGGTTATTTTTGAACCAGGGTCTACAATGCAAGGTAGCTAGACCCTGATCCGGCCAGGGTATAATTTGCCCGGGATCCCACCATGATACAAAGGGAAATACTATATGTACTCCCACTCTATACTCCCAACTTTTACTTCACACACAAAATCTTGATGTAGACACTTGTATAGTTGTATTGAGACCTACATGAAAAAAATGACTTATCAGAGTCCGCCACGCCACATCAAGAAGTAAAATTGAGAGAATAAAATTGGGGAGTATATGTAGTATAGCTCATGATACAAACTATACTGCTACAATTAATAGGGCTCAAACCGCATACTATATATGCTCGAACAATATAATAATATTGGGTGAGAAGGACAACACTGCATCTTCAAATTAGTAAGATAATTATAATGCATTAATGCCCCTCCCCACACACACATATGGTGTTTGTTGTGGATCATGTTATATTTGCTTATTACTATACTAAAAACCGAACATATAACAGATGGAATGTCACAACAGATTTGGTTCAATTCTTTTAGTTACTAAATGAAGTGCCCATCTTTACTTGAATTGCTAACCTCTTAAAAAGCAAACACAACTTCTTCATGATGATCACTTTATGTAACCAATTAATACTGAACTAATTCTCAACTTCTTTATTACCGCAAATAGTTTCAACTCATCTAATTAAGTAGGTTATGCAACATAACTACGGCTTTATGGATCGAGATCTCATACCAGTCAAATATGGACAACCTAAGTTGGTTTACCTCTTTCGATCTGGTCTTTTGCGAGTCACAAGGAGGTTTTCACCTAGAACGCACATTTAGATAGTGATTGTGAACTTTCTCAATTAAAGAGATTCTATGAATCAAGATTCGGCCTCTATGTAGCTGTCGTTATTTTGAATCGTTGTCCAATTATCTCATTAATATTTAGAAATATGTCATTATCTGGAGTTGGCAAATTGAAGGAAGGATTGTGGTGGCGAGCTGGGGAAGTTGGCAAGTATTATTAATGGCAATATAATGGTCCCAAGTCCGAACTATACCAAATGCTCTAACAAATAAAAGAAAAGAAGTTGCATATATGGATTGATATATACATGCACCGGACTTTCTTGTGCCATTTGTAGCAAAATGAGAGTGCGTACGTGGACGGAAAATGGCTAAAATGCATAAAAATTAAAATCATCATATATGTTCGACTTCGATAGGAACTAGGAACTGTCTATTGGTCTCTTAATTTGAGATGATCAACTATCTCTTGATTTAAGTCGATCAATCGATAAGAACAAAGTTGATGTACCTCTTTGTGATCTTTTATCAAATAGGATCACAAGTAGGTATAGAGATTAAAAAGAACAAGATACAATAATAAGGCAAAAAAAAAAAAAAAAAAATTTACGTGGTTTGACAATGTGCCTACGTCTAGCGGAGTAAAACTATTATTTTATTAATACTGATGGTGGTGATAGATTGCCTAGGATACAATCAATGTATTTATAGGCATCTAATAACTCAACAATCTCCACCTTGGCGAATATTTCATTTTAGGGGAAAAGACTTATCTTCACAACCTCCACCTTGACGAATATGCTCTTTAGGAGAAAAAACAACTCATCAAATCTCCACCTTAACGAATATGCCGTTTAAGAGAAAATATTTATCTCACATATACACATGGATTAGAACAATCATGCCCATCCTACAGGCAAGCCACATGCACCACCAGCATCAAACGTTTTCCATTTTCCAGTGCATGTTGTACGAACCGCTTCATCATGAGCCATACAGGTCGTGACTTATGCTCATCCCAACTAGCCAGTCACATGCGCCAGGCAGCATCAAACGTTCGCAGTGCATGTACACGAACCACTTCATCCCAAATCGTTCGCCCTCGATCATCGACCTGTCAAATCGGCTGCGACTCATGCTAAGTCCTCACGGCTCACCTCACCTAGCACCCGTGTTGCCCATTGCTACAGCACCCCTCAGCCAACTTCCGCATCCGGGTCATACCAGCCCATACCAGGTGCACGACTCCTCTGGGTATTCGCGTTGCCCAACACTACAACGCGTCTCACCACCTTTACATCTAGCATCTAGAAACACCCAACAAGCTAAGTCCAAACAATGTTCGATTTTGTCACTAGCATCTCCTTCATTATAATATGAATCATCAGCCTGTACCACGTTTGCAGCTTCCAATTTATCGCAAATTTCTTTTGGAGTTTCTAGGGCGTGATACATGATTTCATCATCAAGCCATAACTGAATGGTTCCTGCTGCACGTTCCTTCGAAAACCCCCCAATCAGCCTCTCCCAAATTAGCTGTCGTTTCCGCTTTCAAGGTTTTCAGAAGGCCCTGTAGTGCCAACAAATTATTTACCTTAGACTGCCATAACCTAAAATTCCTTGTACCATACTTTGATACCTCGAATTTTGTACTTGAACTGGCCATCTCAATAGTACGTGCTCTAATACCCATTTGTTGAGATTAACAAGAACAAGAAACAATAATAATAGCATAAAAGTAATAAAGGCAAAATTTACGTGGTTCGACAATGTGTCTACGCCCACGGGAGTGAAACTATTCTTTTATTAATAGTAATGGTGATGGTAGTGATACAACACCTAGGGATACAATTAATATATTTATAGGCATGTACAATGAATTTAACCCAGTCCACTGTACTTCTATTTCTTATATGAGATATACTCATATTCCTTATATGAGACAATTTCATAATAATCCATATATGAGACAAATCAACTTCAACCAAAGCACAACTTCAGATAGTTATTATGGGTTCTCTCATAAATCAAAGCAAATCAGTTGCGGTAATGAAAAGGATACCAGATTTTTCTTTTTAGAAGGAATGAAATGTCCTACATGTAATTCATTCTCCATTTCTTTTGATACCTTGATTATATTGATTATAAATTTTAATTATTTTTTATACCACATTTAGTATTTATTTAACTTCAATTTGAGTTACACCACGACTGAAGTCACACTGATAGAATTTCTCAATAACATATTTAGGTAAAAACATGACTTAGATTTTTTTTTTTCCTTTAACATGACACACATATGACATAACAGAGTCAATTTCCGATCTTACAACTGTATTACCAGATTGTTCAAGTAATGTCTTACTTTTCAACAAAAATATTTATTTCTGAAAGTATAATTTGTATTTTCTAGAAGAGATAAATCGTCTCCCACTTAATACCAAGAAGCAAATGGTTCACTAATTGGATCTTGGATGGGCCAAGACTTTCTATATTGAATAAAAAAGAAAAATGCATGGTCTCTAGCTGTGGAGTTTTTTGGGCCAATGCCAACCCATCACTCGAATTCGACTTCACTTTGATGGTTTATGCG